CAGGAGCTGGCCCCGTTTCTAAGGCCCCTTATCGTATGGCGCCGAAGGAGCTTCAAGAGCTCAAGGCTCAGATTCAGGAGTTGCTCAAGCTCGGTTTTATTCGTCCGAGTATCTCACCGTGGGGTGCGCCCGTCCTATTCGTGAAGAAGAAAGACGGATCTATGCGCATGTGCATTGACTATCGGGAGTTGAAAGCCCTTACAGTCAAGAACAAGTACCCCCTTCCCCGTATTGAGGACCTTTTCGACCAGCTGAGGGGAGCCAGCTTCTTCTCAAATATTGACTTGTGTTCTGGCTATCATCAGCTGAAGATCCGAGAGTCGGATATTTCTAAGACTGCTTTCCGTACCCGCTATGGCCACTATGAGTTCGTGGTAATGCCGTTCAGACTCTGCAATGCCCCGGCCGTTTTCATGGACCTTATGAATAGGGTCTTCCGTCCTTTCCTGGACCAGTTCGTCATTGTGTTCATCGACAAAATTTTGGTCTTTTCCCAAGATATCGATCAGCACAAGGAGCATTTGAAGATTGTGCTGGAGACTCTTCGCCACGAGAAGTTGTATACTAAGTTCTCGAAGTGCGAGTTCTGGCTGAACCGTGTGGCATTCCTTGGCCACATTCTGACAGCTCGAGGCATTGAGGTGAATCCCAGCAAGATTGAGACGGTGAGCAAATGGGATACGCCAAGAAGTGTCGCAGATATTCGTAGTTTCCTAGGGTTAGCAGGATACTATAGGAGGTTTATCGAGGGCTTCTTGAAGATAGCCCAACCACTGACCAACCTTACGAAGAAAGTCGTGAGGTTTGATTAGAGACCTCAGTGCGAGGAGAGTTTCCAGGAGTTGAAGAGGAGACTCACTACCGCACCTGTCCTATCTATACCCCACCCTACCTTAGAGTTCACTATCTATAGTGATGCTTCGAAGATGGGTTTGGGGTGTGTCCTTATGCAGCAGGGGAAAGTCGTAGCCTATGCTTCGAGGCAGCTGAAGCCTCACGAGCAGAACTACCCCACTCACGATCTCGAGTTAGCTGCAGTTGTCCA